GGTTTCCGTACATCTGTCAAAATTAACATATACCCCCATTAAATGGCAGTATGCAAAGGGTCTGAAGATGCTCTGAACAGAAATATGTCTTTTTACAATAGAGACAAAAGTGGAGTAATGAGCACTACGTCAACCAAGGTTCTGGAAACAACATATATTATATGAGGCGGCACTTACAGCCGAACGTCTCATAACTTTAGGCGAACCGGCCAAAAGCGGTTATAGGACACGTCATCAATGTATACTAAACACATTGGAAGGCTAAACACAATCATCAGACGTGCCCGATCGCAAAATACGAAAAAATATTTGAAACGATTTGATTCCAGATCAAGCGGAATTTTAGAGAAAATACCCGTAGGAATCCGTTGCTACACTGATGACTCTAAATTGGGAGACAAAATGGGCCTGGTTTTTATATTGAAGACCCAGAAACAGAAATATACCACAGTTTACCTAATCAAAACACTAGCTTCCAGGCAGAAGTCCGAGAAATAACGGAATGCGTAAATTGGATTAAAATAAATATGGCGCCTACAGAGCTTAACATATTTACCGACAGCTAGAAAGCAATTAGGATCGTAAAAAAGCTATAACCGAATACTCTAACAGAGGTAAGGTTTACATCATATGGGTATCAGGCCACTCGGGAGTAGTCGGTAATGAAAGAGCGAATGTAATAGATTTAAAGGGAAGGGAGATCGAGGTAGTTAACATGACGATCGCAAAACTATTTGACGCAACGAGGGCATAATTAAAATTATGGGTGAGAGAAACCCATTAGGCCTCTTGGAATAATGAAACCGTGAGTAGAACCACAAAGATCCTATGGGGTGATGCTAACGAGAGCAGGACGAGAAGCCTCCTCAAAATGAACAAGTCTGGGGTTACCATGATGATACGTATTCTGAGTGGACACCCAGAATTACGGGCACACCTAACAAAATTGGACGTGCGGATTCAGACGAATGTAGAGCATTTAGAAAAGACCTATGTGTATTTTTTCGGATTTGATGTAGATACATCCTCCTATCAACCTAACCTAACCATGTTTTAAGAATGCAAGGGGGTAATTAATTTTTGTTGATTTTCTCTTACTTGTTTAATCATAGATGGGATAGGAAACCAGTCATGACAAAATCATTATTTATCTTACAACTGGGGAATAGATTTTATGTTGTAAAATTTTCCAAAATATGTCATTAAAATATGCAATTCAAAATGACATTAATTTATATTTTTTTGTAAAAAGCGGTTCGTCTGTCTGTGGAAAGCTCAATATGGTTCGAACCATATAGTAGCATATAGGCGAAAGAGATTGTCAAAGACCTAAGTCCCCTGTCAAAAACCTAACTGGTGAGAATGTATTAGTAGAAGCACAAAAATAAGCACAGTTGTTCAAAAGGTACTGAATAATAAATGTATTTCTGATACGTTATTTTTTGTATGCTATTACTGGGATTTTATATACTAGTGAATGAAAATAATAGTTAATTAATTTTTTTCAGAAGATATTTCATCTTAAAACATATTATAAACACGTCTTTTTGTTATTTTTTTCTGCACTAATCGAAAAAGAAAAAAAGTATGTGAAATACAATACGAAAATTTACAACTTTTCATTTTTCAGTTTTAATTAAAATGAAATGTCAAAGAATAAAAAATATTTTTTTTTTCGTTTGTAACATAATAAAACAATAATAAGGTAGAATCAGTAGAAAAGTACGTTCTCAATTTTACATGCCTTGAATTGTCACAAAAAAGAAAATTAAAAAATATAAAAAAAACATCAAATGAAAATTATTAAAAATTTTTTTGTGAAGAAAATAAAATTGGATAATTTGAATAAAAAAGATCGCAAAACTAATAAAAATCATAAACAGGATACAGAAGAGAGGAATGCTGTTTGCGTGTGTCATTCAATAAACATTTCATGGTATTTTTCGTTGTTTTTCATTTGAAGATTTTGAAGTTTTTCCCTTTTTAGTTCTCCTTTGTTTGACATAACAAGGCAAAGAATTGACAACTCTCCCTACGGATTCTACCTTTCTATGGTTGTATCATGGTTTGTAAAATATAAATTATTTTCGGGGTTTTAAATACTATAAAAGTGTCGCAAAAAATAATAAATATTAAGTTTAATTGATAAGAAAAACTATTAAGTGCTAATATTCTCGTAATTTCGCGAAGAAAATTTGTAGTTTTGTGAGTGCGTTTAGTTCTCTCGAGTGTTGTTTATTCTCTCAGAACTCGTCTGTGTAAAGAGAATAACAAATTTTGTTTGACAACCCCCCAGCGGTAAAAATACACATTATGTACTCGCTTATCTAAGTGATATTTCGTGGCAGTCAGTGGTGATGCTTTCACTTATTCTTCCACTTAGATTTAACATAAAAGTGTCCTAGGCTGCCTCATCGATGTGCTCTCGCTTAGAATGTAAGCCACAGTTTCATTAAGACAAATTAAAATTTCACTTACATAATGTGTGGAGTTCTAAGCGAAGTTAATGAGACGCCTATAAACGCTTGCAAATAAGAATGTAATGTATGTAGATTACAATCCTATTTGCATTTGTAAGTTAAAGTACCATGTCTTCCGATTTTGTTATAGAAAAAATATATTTTTTGTTTACGTTTATTTCAAATTATGTAAGTTTATTTAAAAATTATCATCAAATAATAAACTTACACTTTTAAATTAAATTAAACACTTTTAACGAAGATAAATGAAATGAATCTTAATTTTCTTTTGAAACTTTCGGCCATCTTCCTTTACAGATCCTGTAAACAAACAAGAAGAAATTGTCAGTATTAAAACTAGAATGTATGAAGTAAATTTACCCCAATTTTTAAATCCGTTTGTGCCATTTAGATCACCACAATTATTTTAAATTTTTACAATAAAACAAATTTTTTAAGAAAACACAACTTCACTTACAAAAGATCAACTTTAAACTGAAACAAAAATATTATTCTTTTCATGTAGTACCTATACATACAAAAGAAAAATAAAACGGTACTTTAGTTCTGTTTTTTTTTAAAGATATAAAAACAAAAAACAACATGAAAAAGGCAGCTAACTCTCTGCTTAAATCGTAATCTATGTTATAATTAAAGTGCATGATATGTTGGATTACGCATACATTGCACTCTAAGTACTTAGATTGCTCGCTTAGAACGTCATACTGATGTCATCGAATATTATCTAAGTACTTTGTTTCATTTACCGCTGGGCCCTTCAGTTTCTCCTATATCCCTACTATATGGTTCGAACTATTTTTGGTTTAATTCCAATATTTTGATGTATTTCAAACGAAATGAAAAAAATGACAACTTAAACGAAGTTCACACAGACAGTTGAATTACTTAATTCGTCCTCTGAATTACAATAGCCAATTGACCGGTTTCCACGACACATTCGTAATTCGTTTTGACCGCCATTTTGTTTTTTTTTTCATTCCTTATGTTATTATTATTATTTAGAATACATATGTGTGCATGATACAAAAATACGTTTGTTACATTATTTTAACAAATTAAGTAATATATTTTCCATTTTTTTTTTGTTATTTTATTTTTTATTTGTTTCCAACCAATGAAAACAAACAGCTGATTATGATAAATACCCGATAAAAATTAAAGATGACATTCATTCAGATAGTGAATGACGAATAATTGCATTATGTGAATAATTACATCATGGTATTATACCTTATAGTGGGTATAAAATACTTCAAAAAAAAAAAAAAAAAAAATTTTCCTATAAACTTCAAAATCGAAGTAGCACGGACATAGGCTTGGATCAAAAATCCAAAAAATATTTCAAAAATATTTTCTTTACGCGTAATCAAAGTATGCTTTTAGCTGAGACAAATGGTGCAAAAACAATTATACAAGTTATATATATGGAACATTAATTGGGTAGAGTTTAATTAAAATGGGAGGTGATGAAAAAAACCAATACTTAATGGGAAATTATTAACCCACAAGTTAACATTATTCACATCATAACTCCTAAATGGATTACTATAAATTAAAATTTTAACACTATTTTTTTTAAGGGTATTGAATGAATATTATATTTACGAATGATAAAATAAAGTTTTGGATTTTTTTTAAATTTCATATTTTCTTTGGCTCTTATGCATTTATAGTGCATCAAAATTCTGTCAAAATAAGTTTATATATCTTAAATTTTCCTGTAGAATTGAATACTAAAGTCGGATTGAAATATGTTCAGCAGTTTTCGGTCTATAAACAAATGTCGCCCAGAATCAGTGTTTTGGCCGCATATGTATATGCAGATGAAGGAGTTGAAATTTTAACAAAATAATTACGCCAATATTAGTTTTGATCAAAAAACTTTTATAAAAGGTACATATAATGATATCACAATTTCAAAAATATCGCGTATGTATATTGAAAAAAAAAAAACAAAATTTAAATTTTTTCTCTTGTTTTCAATATATTTGTAAGAAGAATAATGTTCTTTGGCATTTAGAGAAACCGGAAGTTATATGCAAAAATTTACTTTGCTTTACATATTACTATGAATATTACAAAAGCTTTATAGAACCTTTGATAAAGGTTTATGAAAAAGACCCTAAGATAACTTCAAGTAAATATGGTTGTGAAAATGGGGAATTATTCTTCCACGATTTCCAGTTCTACTATATTTTTGTTTTAAGAAATAAAAAAATTATCAAAATTTATTTTCAAACAATAATATTTATTTTATTTCACGTTTTTCTATTGACTAATAATTTACAATCGTTATTTTATTATTTTAAGTTTTTTTTAATTAGTTGTTATAATAAGGACTAGTTTTTCATTTTCTGGTTACTTTGTGCTACAAAATATTATCTCTTAAATAATGACAAATAACGAAAAATAAACTAAAATTAAAATATACAAATACAATGAAATGAGAATTAATTAATTTGATAAAAATATAAAGAGAAACGAATACTAACTAATTAATAGAAATGTGTATGTACAAATTACAACAAAATAATTTACAATTTGAAACTTAAAACGAGTTGGACAACATTTTTGCTAGTGAGCGTAATTAGAATTAAATTTATTTAGTTTGTCTTTTTTTTGTGGCAATTTTTATAAAAATTATAAGTTGAAGGAAAACTTAAAATTGAGGGAAAAAAGTGATTGGAAACTTGTGTTAGTTAGATCAGAGATGGAAAAGAGCTAATAATATACATCGTGTTTTTAAATAAGAATTCAAACTCTTTCTTATTTTCAAGCTAAAACAAAGACTTTTTGAATTAATTTTACATTTATTGCATTATGTATTTTCTTTTAGCTATGTAATGTATATGAATTAATTCTTTTCCATCACTGAATTTAGGTTTAATTTTTTTGATTAAAATTTAGTTTATTTTATTAAATACTAGAACTACTTGTCGGTTTAAATTTATTTTACTTAATTTTTTAATATTTTTGTTTTTTCTTTTGTTTATGTAAAAAGAACCCTGAGTTTGTTTTGATACACTTTTATCTCTGTTTTTAAGTTTTTTATTTTAATTTCAGCTATTTTTTATATCTATAAATTATTATTTCTTAATTATCAAGTAATTTATGTACATATTGATTGATTTGATATTAGGTTTGTTTTTTGATTTAAGATCTTTTTTTTATTAAAATGTAGTTTGTTAATTTTTTTTTTTTATCACAGCCAAATGAGCAAATTATTGTATTTTGTTAAAATTAAATTTCATTTGTCATTTGGCAATTTAGAGAGAGAGAGAGAGATAACTAAATATTTAATTTTTTCATTATACAGGACTACAAAAAATTTCGGATTGTAACATTTCTCGAAATTTTAAGAGTTAATTACAAGCATTTTTTATCGACTGTATCGAATCTTATACAATTTACACCAAAATATAAGACATTATAATGTTTACCGTCTTTACCGAAATAGTTGCATTCTGCCTAGGAATATGTGTTAGAAGCGACAATATATTTTCGAACGTAGGAAGTTCGAGAAAGGTATAGAGCTGTCCTCACATCAATTTATTTCGAAGATTTACTGAATCTACGAATATTTGAGGTATACAAATCGGAATCAGACGGACGTTTTCAATAATTTTAAATAGAAACATTTCTGATATAAGAATCCAGAATCGGCGTGTGACATGTCGAGTGAAAAATTTCAATAAGCCTCATTATTTTGGTGCTGAATATAAAAAGTATTAGTCCTCCATAGGACTCCTCCTCCTCCTTGCCGAAGAATCTTTGCAGCCCCGTGATATAATTTATTGTGTTGTGTACTTTTTACATTGACTCTCGACTGTTATCACTGTTATGCTGCATTGCCAACTGACATTCAGTTAATGTAGGGGTTGCTGTTGACTTACAGCTGCTGTTATTAACATTATTGTTATTGCTGCTGGTGTTTGTACATTTAGAAGTGGCCAGATTTTTGGCATTATTTTGGTGGTTGGCAGCTGATGTCACTGGTGAAGTGGTGGAGTTAATAGCAGGAGGTGAGGTTGTTGTGGTGGTAACAGTGTGCTGAGTTAATATATCGGCTGGTATAAGACCCTCTTTAACACGTTTCTTTTGTTTCATGCGACGATTTTGAAACCAAATTTTAACCTGGAATTTGCAACAAAAAATAAGTTAATTTTCAATAATTTAATTAAAAGTATAACTATTAAACATACCTGTGTTTCATTCAGTTGCAAAGTATTAGCAATTTCTATACGTCTCGCTCGTGTCAAATAACGATTGAAATGAAATTCTTTTTCCAATTCGGTTAATTGTTTGTTGGTGAAATTTGTACGTCCCGAATTATTGGTGGCCGCTAAACCGCAAGACATTTGTACCATACTGCTGGGACTATGACTGCCCGAAAGTAAAACTGTTGGGGTACCTTGTCCACCCATTTGATGGGCCGCCAATACGCCGCCAGCTGTTGAAGCATTGCGACACATTGCATCCAATGTGGCTTGACCATTCAGATGATGATAATCATGCAAAGTGGCAGGTAGTTTTGGTGCTGCAAAGACAAGATACGACAAGACAATACCATAATTAGACAAGTTTGTTAGTTTTTGTATACACACACGCACAAAATATTTTTCATAATATACATATTGTTGTGGTTTTACAGATTATGAGTGATTTTGTCAGTGATGATCGCTGTCAAAGTTAATCAGCGTGAGATTTTTTTGGGCATTGATACCACAAAAAACCACAAGAACAACAACTAAAGTAAAATTTGTATATTTCTTACTTCTTCAACCTTTTTTCCCTTAACTTGTTTCCTCTCAATCTCTACGGGGTTTTTTTATTGAATGATTTGGTATTTTTGCCAAAATACATACAAATTTGTGTAAAATACAGGTACATTTATGTCTAGTTTTGGTTTTTGTTTAATTTTTTCTTGGCATGAGTTGCTAAATTTGATTTTGTACCTTTCGGGTCCGAACATAATGTGACATGTGCCCCGTGGCTTATTCTAATGATTATGAAAATCAGTTTTGGCTTCAGTGTTCCTATTGTAGGATTTGACTTTTTGTGTGTGTGTTTACATTTGGTTTTTCATCAGAAGGATTTCTTAATAGGATTAACTAGAGTTTGTTTGAAAATATTGGAATTAACTTGTACAAATGTAAATAAATATAAAAAAAAGTATTGTGACAGACATTCATATTTTGAGTGGGTGTTCCCTAAAAGGATTTTCATTAAAAAGGAGGGGGTTTGAAAATCTTAACATTTTCACTTTTAACAATTCCCGGAAAACTATACAAGAAAATATTCTTTTCAAATTAAAACTGAGTTTAATATAGTATTTTTGTTTGCCAAATTTTGTCCACATTTCATATCTTTTCTATTTCGATACTTTAATTAGGGCAATAATGTAACAGACTGATTTTTTCTGTACACTATAATCTGAAACGTGATTTTTATATGATTTTATTTCTTCCATTATTTGGCTTTCACACCCCATAAAACCGTATTTAGAGATAAAGATCATAAAAGTTATTGTATCTGCTCGTATTTCAAATGCTACTGTTGTAAATTAATGATATTTATATTTATTTTTTATTATTGTTTCATTTTTGGCTAGAAAATCATATATAACGCCATATTAAATGTCAAGTGTTTCCAATAATCAAAAGAGTAAAATTTATAAGTGTTCGAAACCGTATGCATTATAAAATCGAATCAGCTAAAATAAGAGAAAAAAGTACCACGATCATAAATAAGTCAAAAATCATTAAAAATAATCAATCAAATATAAGTCAAAGAAATCAAAAACATGTTTGTATTATAAAATTTTATAGATATGTATTTATATGTATGTATATGTGCATATATTTACGAGGGTGGTTTGTTTATTTTTTTAACACACATTAAAACAGTGAACTTGGTAATAAATTTACGAAAATAAAAATTCGTAATAAAATAATTTTATTTCGTAAAATAAAAAAATATTACCATACACTACGTATAATTTTGTTACGAAAAAATTTTATTATCTTCGTGAAATGAGACATGTCAAAACGAAATTGTTTTTGTAAAATATAAGAAACTTTTATATGAAAAAAGATATAACAAAATATTCTGTTAAAATTATTCAAAAGCAATAAATAGGAAACCTCACTTTGACATACTCTTCTATATTCGGATTCCTGCTTAGAATTCAATACCCGAGTCCAACTCAAGCAATGTTGTAACAAATATTTACACTAATGGCTCCAAGAGAAGTGGATTTTGGCTATTACACTGACAGATTTGGGTTTAAATCCTCATATTTGGGTTTTAATCCTCACCGAATTATTGTAGAGCTTTACAGGCGCAAATATCTACTATTAAACGAGTCGCTAACGGGATATATATAAGGACGGCAAAGCTGCGATCATAAATCTAGCGGGTGACTTTACGACATCTAGATTAACCAAAGAATGCCGGGTATATCTGAATGAGATAGCGAGACTTTCCTGGACAAGATAATTGTCAGGGTAAATGTATAGCTGACGAACTTGCGGAAAATGGTGCGATGATAGGGGAAGATGAAATCGACGAACTTTAAGTCGTTGAATCAGACTGAGCTGTATGAAATGGTGAAACCACCTGTCTAACTTCGAGGTAAATTTAGGCTCTATATGATGCTCCCAGGTCAAGCTTTCGTAGGAAGCAGTCAAAACGGGACACTGTGCAATTAGCAATCACGCCAGTAAAATGAGTCCTGTAGAAGTTGTCATAATGAGAAAGAAGAGGAATCAACACCTCACTTCCTTGGCCATTGTCCATCGTTCAATAAAAGCAGAGAACATTGTTTTGGCTTTGCTGCCCTATCTTGTTTGGAGGTGCTATCCGGAATAATCCTCAAAAATCAAAAACCAGTTGGTTTGTAAATCAAACCGACTGTTATAAACCTAGAAGTAGTGAGGTGGACCCATGTGCGCCACTCATTATTGATTGAGTTGGTACCCTTCTTACCTAAACCTAATAAAAAGAAAAGAGTATTCGTCCTATAAAAAAGTTGTGTGTTTAAATCCATTGCTGTGGCCTCCGGTAGGTTAGTGGTTAGTGTTCTAGTCTGGTAGACCGGAGGCACTGGTTAAGGAGCGCACAACAGGCCCGATATAGTCCTAGGTGTATTTCTTCGGATTTGATGTATATACATCCTCCTTTCAACTAACTAACTAACTACTAACTAACTAACTAACTAACTAACTAACTAACTAACTACTAACTAACTAACTAACTAACTAACTAACTAACTACTAACTAACTAACTAACTAACTAACTACTAACTAACTAACTAACTAACTAACTAACTAACTAACTAACTAACTAACTAACTAACTACTAACTACTAACTAACTAACTAACTAACTACTAACTAACCAACTAACTAACTAACTAACTAACTACTAACTAACTAACTAACTAACTAACTAACTAACTAACTAACTAACTAACTAACTAACTAACTAACTAACTAACTAACTAACTAACTAACTAACTACTAACTAACTAACTAACTAACTAACTAACTAACTAACTAACTAACTACTACTAACTAACTACTACTAACTAACTACTAACTAACTAACTAACTAACTACTAACTAACTAACTAACTAACTAACTAACTAACTACTAACTAACTAACTAACTAACTACTAACTAACTAACTAACTACTAACTAACTAACTAACTAACTAACTAACTAACTAACTAACTAACTAACACTAACTAACTAACTAACTAACTAACTAACTAACTACTAACTAACTAACTCTAACTAACTAACTAACTAACTAACTACTAACTAACTAACTAACTAACTACTACTAACTAACTAACTAACTAACTAACTAACTAACTAACTAACTAACTAACTAACTACTAACTAACTAACTACTAACTAACTAACTAACTAACTAACTAACTAACTAACTAACTAACTAACTACTAACTAACTACTAACTAACTAACTAACTAACTAACTAACTCCTAACTAACTAACTAACTAACTAACTAACTACTACTAACTAACTAACTAACTAACTAACTAACTAACTAACTAACTAACTAACTAACTAACTAACTAACTAACTAACTAACTAACTACTAACTAACTAACTAACTAACTACTAACTAACTAACTAACTAACTACTAACTAACTAACTAACTAACTAACTAACTAACTACTAACTAACTAACTACTAACTAACTAACTAACTAACTAACTAACTAACTAACTAACTAACTAACTAACTAACTAACTAACTAACTAACTAACTAACTAACTAACTAACTAACTACTAACTAACTAACTACTAACTAACTAACTAACTAACTAACTAACTAACTAACTAACTAACTAACTAACTAACTACTAACTAACTAACTAACTAACTAACTACTAACTAACTACTAACTAACTAACTAACTAACTAACTAACTAACTAACTAACTAACTAACTAACTAACTAACTACTAACTAACTAACTAACTAACTAACTAACTAACTAACTAACTAACTAACTAACTAACCTAACTAACTAACTAACTAACTAACTAACTAACTAACTAACTAACTAACTAACTAACTACAACTAACTAACTACTAACTAACTAACTAACTAACTAACTAACTAACTAACTAACTAACTAACTAACTAACTAACTAACTAACTAACTAACTAACTAACTAACTAACTAACTAACTAACTACTAACTAACTACTAACTAACTAACTAACTAACTAACTAACTAACTAACTAACTAACTAACTAACTAACTAACTAACTAACTACTAACTAACTAACTAACTAACTAACTAACTAACTAACTAACTAACTACTAACTAACTAACTAACTAACTAACTAACTAACTAACTAACTAACTAACTAACTAACTAACTAACTAACTACTAACTAACTAACTAACTAACTACTAACTAACTAACTAACTAACTAACTAACTAACTAACTAACTAACTAACTAACTAACTAACTAACTAACTAACTAACTAACTAACTAACTAACTAACTAACTAACTAACTAACTAACTAACTAACTACTAACTAACTAACTACTAACTAACTACTAACTAACTAACTAACTAACTAACTAACTACTAACTAACTAACTAACTAACTAACTAACTAACTAACTAACTAACTAACTAACTAACTACTAACTAACTAACTAACTAACTAACTAACTAACTAACTAACTAACTAACTAACTAACTAACTAACTAACTACTAACTAACTAACTAACTAACTAACTAACTAACTAACTAACTAACTAACTAACTAACTAACTAACTAACTAACTAACTAACTAACTAACTAACTAACTAACTAACTAACTACTAACTAACTAACTAACTAACTAACTAACTAACTAACTAACTAACTAACTAACTAACTAACTAACTAACTAACTAACTACTAACTAACTAACTAACTACTAACTAACTAACTAACTAACTACCTACTAACTAACTAACTAACTAACTAACTAACT